AGAGAAAGATTAACATACTTGTAAAATATTTAAAAAACTATCTCACCAAATATCTTCCATATATGTTCATTTAGTGCTTATAATTTTTATCACTTTACATTTATCGTTTTACAACCAATATAAAACTGCGTAAGAAACACGAATATTCAATTAGCACTTTAAGTTATAAATGAGAATTAAATATTGAACTCGATCTTAATCGACTAAATATCGGAATACATCGAATATAAAATCATGATTGAAAATCTACTAACACGAACGTCCGATTTTCGATTTTCAGGTGTGGTTCCAGAATCGGCGGACAAAGTGGCGGAAGAAGCACGCGGCGGAGATGGCGACGGCGAAACGGCGGCAGGAGGAGGTCGAGGGCGTCGTCGCCGAGGGTGAGGACGGCTGCAGCGACACAGAAACCGATGGTGGTAGTGGCGGTGGCGCCGGCGGCGAAACCGCCGCGAAGAGGCTGCGAAGGGAGCTCGAGCAGCAATACAGGCATTGAGAACCGCCGGTCCGGACGGCGGGGGTGACCCGGGGACACGCGGGGACGCGAAAAAAGAGAAAAGAGGGTTGCAGGAGGAGAAGGCTAAGGCGTGGCCCGGGGGCGGCGCGTATCAAAGGATTCCTCGCGGCTTGTTCGGAGAACAATGCGCGTGTCGGCTCGCGGATGATCGCGGAACGACTGAACGGCAGAGAAAGAGAGGAAGAAAAAAAAGGGGTGACGTACGTACGTGAGAGTGTGTGTACGCGTGTCCTTCTTCGTGATTTAGCCGGACGCTTAACGCGGCATCGCAAGTGATGTACGGAATGTCCGGGAAGTCGCGCGTCTTTTCCGAACAGCGGAGAGCACAAGAGACGATTTAAAAAATTTAATAGAAAGCAGAGATCTCTCTCACGAGAATATTTATGCTGTGTGGAGTCGATCCTTGTTGAATTATAAGCGGAAGATAAAAGATTTATCAAGAAATAGAGAAGGGGTGTACTTTCCAGTTAACTTCGAGCGGATTTTATACTTGGATTTTGATTAGAATTTTAATTATCATTCCCTAGTCTTTCCTAAATTAATTTTGAAAAAAGATATTGTTAAGGCAGCCGAGAGAAAATGCGCGAGTTGTAAGATGCCTGATATAATCTTCGCATTTCGCGATAGTGTTTGCAATCGTGCTGTTATAGTCGAGGATAGTCGTGGCTTCTTGGAGCGAATAGATCTTTATGGCGACCGTTATAATTTTGACCGATTCTAACGGATGTTTCGATTGGCTTCGAAATATTGCAAATACGCGCTGATTTTGTCGATGGCGGATTTTGTGAGTGCTCAAGAACTAGCGACTCGGTTTTAACTAAACGTTAACCAAAGAATAATAATTTATATTGAAATTGAACATTATATATATAAATTAATATGTAAAATGTAAAATATATTCCGTATTTGTTCTTTCTCTTTCAAATTAATTAAGAAAAATCGCGAATAATAAGTGAGCAAAGAAATTTCTTGAGAAGAGGCCGAATAAAAAAATTGATGCACCGTAATTTTGCCATCCGACAATATGACTTACAATTAGTGACCATTTGAATTTTAATTACATATACATATATCATGTTTAATTGATCTGAATGATTGATGTGATCATTTTAAATATCAATAATAAAGTCTATCGATTCGTCGCTATTTCACGATCAAATGTCGCCGGTCTCGAAATTTTGGAATGTCGCTCGATCAAACTGAAGTACGATCCAAGGACGATTGCGCGGTTGTCGACCCGAGAAAGTCTAATTAATCGCGAGCAGTTACGACACCAATTTATTATCATAAACTGGGCTTGCTTTTGTGACTACGGTAATACTTCACGATTACCTTGCTCCAAGAGATAAATACGAATCTAGCGTATATTAAATGAGTCTTTTAACATAATTTGAATTGGCTCATTAGACAGATATATTGCATTTTAAATGCCGATATTTATGTACAAATTTATTTTTTTTGGAAGAGATTATCATGAAATAGAATACAATCATAAAGTAACGTCATTTTTTAAGTTATCGATAAAATGTGATATCGATAAAAATCTGAGAGTCATGTAGATTTATCAACTTGTCATGTATCTACCAATTTGAAATCAACTTGACATAGAATCATGTGATAACTTCGTTGCTCTAATTACGCGTCGTGTTTGACAAGAGAATGTAGCGACACGTTCAAATATATATCGTTAACACCCTCCGAGAGAGGCGAATGTGTGTTATCATTCCCAAAATCTCTCGATCGTGTGTACATATTTAGTCGCTGCGAGAGCATACGGAGGAATCGATAGGAAGGGTTTGCCGAGCTGCTTACGCGATGGCAGATTAGTCGCTGGGGCTTTGTTATCCATCCGACAAACAACGCACGGCAAATATGGTAAACAACGCACGACGACGTAACGTCAGCCCCCGTCAAGGAGATGTTTTAATGGATAACCATAAATCCAAGGACCCGGCAATCCGTACGCCATTCTAACTAGTCGACTATCATTGAGAAAATGACGCGGGAAGACCATTCTCTCGGTTAAATAAATAATTTTATGTATAAATATTGGGGGATTGAAAAAAATATTATTTTCTGTGCTGCGTTTAATTGGTCCATCGAGAAACATGTTGTTTAAATATTACGGATTCATGAATATAACAAAATATGACGAATATGGCAGATATAATATTATCTATTTAAGAAAATAAAAGAAAATATATTTTTTTGTTAATTTCTTGCAATTTTCTGATCGCATGTTCAACAGCATTGAGAAATTATAATTCAAATAATGCAAAGTAATAATTTAATAAATTGATGATCTTTAATGAATGTAAACTGTAAACTATTATAAAATACTAAATAATTCGACGCGACATGATTTTTGCTCTCTTTTTTGTTATCGATATACATATAAAGGTATCGTTTCTGTTAAAAGAAAAAATTTCTAGAAATAAATATTCATTTTTCTATGAGAATTTTAAAATTATGCAAAGTCATTAAAGGCATTTTCTTGCTTAAAAGATTGAAAATCGTTAGAAAATTATTTCATTTATTTTTATATAATTTTATTTTTTTACGTACGGATATTTATTTATATTATCAAAAATGCCAGTTGCAAGAAATAAAGGCAATTATTTATCGTTTTAACTTTGTTTCTCTGCAAATTTTGGTAAAGTCAGAGATCTACAATAAAGATATTCGAGAGATAATCGGGGAAAAATATATATGAAATTCGAATACATCCAAATAAATGCATGTCGAGAAATTCTACGAAAAATGGACTTTGTATATTATGTAGATAAACGATAAACGTGAATGTGATATCTAACGTATTTAATACGGCGTTCGGTTTAGGCGCGTAAGTGAAATAAGTAGATATCGTCTATTGTAGACTAAAATATAAAAAAAAAACGCTGAGAAATATAGAAAAATATAGCATATACACACACAAATAAATCGCACGTGGCGTGCGTCTAAACTCGTAACTCTGGCTCTGTTTTTCTAGCTGCACTTTCTTATATTTTCTGCATTTAAAATGAGATAGGTGTATATTCTGGTTTTAGAGAGAGATGAAGAAAAGGAAAAACAAAATACAGAAAGTGCAACTAAAAACGACGAACCTTTTGTATTCTTGCCGCAGATTAGTGCTAAATATGGTTGCCTGATCCCAAGTTTTATTTACCTAGTTTAAAGATATTATTTTAACAGAATGTACTAAACTTTACTTTATACGATGCGTGCTGTGAAGTCCTCATTATATTCTTTAATAATTCTATTTTAAAATATATAGATATCAGAATATTCATGGTACATCAATAAATATAAAGATGTTTTAATCGAATATACTCATCCAAGTGTAGTCTTTTTATTAAAATAATTAAAATTATGTGTCTGTAAAATGTGATCACTAAATATTAAAATTTTGCTTCTTAAAAACTTTTATATATGTGCAAACAAATTTGATAAAAGAATTTAATTAACTAATAAGAAGAAATTTAAATCAAATTAAAAAATTTTATCCTAAAATATGTAAAAAATGATTGTGAAATATA